TAAGATGTAAAATGCCGACTATTACCGGTGCGTTCGTACTAGTAACATGTGTTAAGAAGGGAAGGTTGGTTTTTCTTACTTGCTAAGCTGTCGTGGCGATGACCGTTTACATATAAGATTCTGGTACAAGGACCCGCAGGCCGGACAATGGAGCTTTCATGCAACTACACAAGCTTTCCTTGTTTTCACATGCTTTCAGCCAATGGAAGAATCACCCGCCATCTGTAAGCAATATAATAAAATTCGCATTATATACCTTCGACCAAATTTTTTATTTTATTTTAACTCAAGCTTGTTACTTTCGAGATTATAACTTTAAAACTTCTTTATTTGTTACATTTTATAATTAATAGCTTGGTTTTTAACCCTTTTAATAATAATAATACGCACATATTAACACCTTTAATAATAGTAGTAGTGTCGATTAAATAATATTTATAAATTCTGAAATAAACGGTCACCGAATATATTGGTCGTATTAAAAAATAAATTCTAAAAAGTTGTCCTTATTGCGATTTTTAAATCTCGTAAAACTATATTCCTATATAAAGTTAAGCTAACAGCTTAAACTTTTATCTAAGCTTCGTAGCTTATTAAAAACATATTCGAACCGGACTTTTAAAAGTTTATTAGTAAAGACCTGCTACTAAGAGGTACAAGTAGTAAAATTTAAAATTTCAAAAGTTTCGATATCGATTATCTCGAATATTTTAACAGTTCGTAGTTAATTACGTAAATAAAAGCAATATAAACCTTATTAATTGAGAAAAATATTAGTTTAATAAAGGTTATTAATTTTCAATAACTTATTAACTCATTTTACCCGCAGTTAAAACGTAGTTAAAATTTTTTACCGTATAACGTATATTACTAAGCTAATTATCCATTCATAAAATATATTAACGCTTAATAACATATTATTCCGTTACTTAATATAAAGACGGTTTTACCTCGTCATGAAATTTATTTAAAGTAAAAGTTTAAAAGACTTTATAACGGATATATCTAAACGGATAAGCGGCATACTTGTACCGAACCGAAAGTTTTTAATAAAATTCCGTTGTTATAATTTTATAATCTTTTCTTTGGGGGTTTTAATAGCTTTTTATAAGAATTAATCTTATAATATAATAGTATATATAGTTATAAATATAACGAATTTATTAAACAAGTTATACAGAGGTAATAATACGACACCTGCCTTAAAAACGGTGGTAAATAAGCCGGTAGCAGATGATTTTTAAGCGAGTTTATATTTTTAAAAAGCAGCGACGCAAATAAGTATGTTTAATATTAACCGCGATATTTTATATTCTAACCCTTTCTTTCTTAGCTTATATAAGATCTAAAAAGTATAGAAAGGTTATAATTATTAACGAGACATATTTAAATATATTATAGTAATATTACGAACGGAAAAAAAAAGTATAATAAAACGCTTATTTGTTTATGAAATTAACTTACTTTATAATAATAATTAATAAACGCGACGAACATAAATATAAACTAGTACCGATAATAAGACTTATTAATTTTAAAGAAGTCAAAAATAACGTTATTATAAGAGGTACTTTGTAAGGATTCCTACACTTGTTTAAGCCATGCTAACCTTTTCATTTCGATACATGCATACTAATCGAGAATATTCGAGACATAAGATTGGTAAGCGAATCGTTAAGACTCGAGCGTCCTCCATAGTTAGGCGTTAATGCGGCCACTTACTAAGACTTTTCGCAAGTTATACGAAGCTATTACGGCTACTTTAGTACCGCTAACCCAGCTCCATTGTGGCTAAACCTAGACATAGATCTTTACAAACTTGCTGCGGAGTGCGCGACGGATAATAGTGTAAATTGGCCTAGTATAATAAAGCTGTTTAGTTCCGTCCCGGAAGAGATTACTACAAAGACAGAACCAGACCACTTTCCGGGCAAACCGCGCAAGGACTAGGAGTCTGACGATAACATCCGACAATTCGTAAACGACTATATGCTTTCCGCTCCGACGCAATAAACAAAATATAATAGCCCCGGCCGCCCCCGCCCCCGCCCCCCAGTTGCACCGCCGGCTGTGTAAGGTTAGTGCTTCTCACGGTGGACGGTGTTGTTATCGAGGTGATTTTGGGTTGGCTTGCAGAGCGGGACACATTAGGATTGGGTTGTTTTTGACGACACGGCTGGTCCTGCTCTCGATCTTCCTCCCATGTTGTGGCTTATCGTCTGGCTGCCGAATCCAGCCAGGCCAGGTGACCCCGGAGGATTGGCGGTAAGGGGAGCCTCATTATTTCGTGGTGTTGCGATAGTGCGTTATTCCATACCAGCCGATGAGAGCCCGGCGATGGCCATGGACGAGTATTTTAACGCCCATGAAGGGAGTCTGGTTGGCGTGGATATGGGTATGGGCGAACTATGCTTCGAAGGGTCGAATTAGGAAGACTAGCCAGAGTGTCGCGCGGAGTGTCGGCGTATATATACCAAGTCTAGCTATTGGCAAGGCATGCAGCTGTTTTGCCACAAGAGCTTCTGTGTGTTCGAGCTTATACGGAAAGCTCAAGCTGGGTCGTCATTGGGGTGTCTGGAGCTTTTGAGTTGAAGAATGGTTAGCGGGTTATCGCCATCGAGGCCCTTACGAATATTCGCATGCGGTGACCGGACGGCCTATGAAGCTTGCTGTTGGGTCTTTCTCATTGATTGCGGAATAATATGATACTGCGTGCCAACGCTTGATGTCAATATTGACGCCAGGTGCTTGCCAGGCGATGCTTGATGTGTAGGTATGCGAACTGTGCAGATTGGTTCATCGACCAGACGAAGAGTCATGGGCTGTCAGTCAAGACCTTATGTTTTCGCGGAGCGTAGGCCACGATAGCCAGAGTGGTTAGATCCACATTTCTCTTTTCTCATTGTCCAAGAGTTTCTTTGATTAGAATCAGTGTCGTAAGTCTGGTAAGGGATATGTTCAAGGACTAACTAGAGGTGTATGTTGCTGCGGCAAGCCCACGTTTCCTAACTGGTATATGACGATCACACGGGTAACCAATGTGAAAGTCGACCGAGAAAAGCCTGGGCTCTCTCTATAAAGTAGCAAAACAGAGGTGTCCCGCCCATTATTCGATAGCCTGTTTCGACGCTCAGTCAACAGCAGAAGTACTATCGAGACACCCTCCCTTGGACTTGGCAGTATTCCAGTATGACAGCGATGCAGTGTCTCCCTTATTGGAGTGTTGTTTCACTTTATCTGTCCCCTTCTCTTAACGCCCGCGTACTGCTTTTCCACTCATCTTGATGATTGTTCACCCAATACACGTCCAACAGGCGTTAGCTACCCACGACTAGACTAGAATAACGTCGTCCGGCACGTATTGCCCTTCGCACTCAACACTAAAGGTCTCATAGCCTACATTGGCTGAGCAACTGGCGACCTCGCGACTCCGCGCAAGAATGAAAGCGAACTTAGAGCAAACCGACAATGACGGGCCACTCTTGGTAACGCGATACCACCCTAGATATGGCGGGATCCAAGCAATCGGTGGTGCCCACTCTGACAGCCTGGAGTATAATCGACGCGACTATCATGACTCGTGATAACACATACGCTACTTACAAGTCCGTTTGGTCCAGAGGTTCTTTTTCCTTCCTTGCTGCATTTGCTAATGATTTCGAACTAAATGGGACATTCAATGCCTTGGCATTGTCTCTTCTAGTGAGACTGCTTCTGATGCTATGAAACCTACACGGGGCTTGTTCAACTGTCAAAGCTCGATGACGGCGCCGTCAGATTATGCCTTGACTACGCCTGCGGAGGTTGTAAGTCATTGGGACATTAGAAATCCTTATGATGCAAATTTGCTGACAGTCTCAGGGTGTCTAGCAGTCAGAGCATCCCTGGAGAACGATCTTGGAGACCAACAAAAGCTTCTGCGGGCCTTCATCAACATCTATCATGCTGCTGATTTCTTGATGATGCCAAGACTTTTGAACGACCTCAAGCTTTGCATCTCTTGGACTCTCACATCTGTCACGCAGAAGCTCTACGCCGTATGTGACCAAGAGGCCAACCTCAATACATGCTTAGAGCACAAACATGTTCAGATCTTGCAGAAAACTTGATCGACGAGGGACTGTCAGTCGCTCACCGGCCTATTCTCCACATGCTAGCCTGCTTTTTCAGGCAGCAGCACCACACAGCCGGCTTTCCCGGATACCGAAATATTCTGCAATGATTCCCTACTGTGGTTACCTACAAGTCCACCACTCCAAGGGAGGCGAGAATGCAGGGAGGCGAGAATGCAGGGAGGCGAGAATGCACCAGGCAATTATTGGCGGGGTCAGCGGGACCAACTAGATCGATACAGGAGAAATCCCTCCTACCTCAGACTCGAAGTCTAAAGCGTATGCGCCCAGTCCAATGAGCAGGCCGATGGTGAAAGACAAAAAGTCCATGGCTACCAAGAAAGGGTTCCAATTAGTCTAGTAATAATCAATACTTCTTCCCGAAGGATATAAATAATAATGCGTGCCCATAACCCCATAGCCCTATAAGGCCTTGATCGCCCAGTTAAAAAGAAGAAGAAGGAAAAATGGCCATGTCAAAGCTGCCTTAGGAGCATCCCATCTTTAGAGTGGCAAACTGGATCAGATGCTTATGTTAAACGTCAGGATCCAAACCCAGGGGTATGAATGGGTCTCCCAAACCCCACCCCTCAGTCCCGTCATCCACATCATGATCCAACGCAGGCACCCAGCATCCTCGTAGCCTGCCATTAAAAGCATATAGAAGAATAGATCTTCGGGAACTCCGAACGAGTGGCAAGCCCTACATCATACATGAGAGACGTGCTATGTACACGTTTCCCTCGAGCATCTATCAGAAGGCAGCGCATCCCGACTGAGGGTGGGCGGACTAGATCTTGCAAGTCAACACAAAACGCACATACATCCCACTTAATCAATCAATCAAACAAGCCACCATAGACCACCCAATACATCCAAAACCCCACCATGAAGCTCTCGCTACTGCTCTCTGCAAGCGCCCTCGCGTGCACCGCAACGGCCACCGTCGCCCTGAAGCCCAGACTCGTAAGACCTCACTGACTAACTGATTTACAACCCGCCCCCCCCCCCCCCCCCCCCCCGGCCTCCCCATCTGGTGCGAAATTATACCTGTCTAACCTCCGGCTTAGCTAAAGGAACATGTGGGCTACAATTTCCAACCCAGCGTGGCCGAGGAGGAAGGCGGGAAGAGCTATTTAGCGAAGTTGGCCGAAGACATGCTTTCGCAGGACCAGTGCGGCGCCGAATGCCACCCCATGTTGGACACCATAGCGGGCCGGTCCGCATGTACCGGCACGGAATGCCCTATCTGCACGGACAAGGGCTCGTTCGACAAGAAGCATCGGTGTCAACAGGATAAATCGTGATATTAAATCCTGGGACTGGTGGTCGTGAGCCAAGGGTGGACGGACGGGGCAGGTATGTCGATGGCTGCTGTTCCGGTGGGATGATATTCCTTGCAGGTCGCCACGTGATGTATTATTAGATAGACAAGTGTAGGATCAGGACTCAAGACAATAGACAAAAGACTCGGCGTCATATTATCATTACATTCGTAAGCACAGAAATAAATCGTCTATTCGTGGAGCACTAGGTTCATCATATTTACCTAGTACCTACGTACACCTTGAGATGATGCGCAACTTGGAAAGGCTGATCCATTATGTGGGCGTTACAAATCCTAAACAGGTCAACGGTGTCTGATATTTCACCAAGGAGTGTAGATAGCTCGTCACAGCAGGTCGCATCCCATGGTGATCGCGTGGCGAGCGCAGCGGGCACAGAGCTGTGTCCTCGCATGCGCCGCAACCGCCGCGGTCACCCCGGAGTCCAGACTCGTGCCCGAACCCCCCAAGGTAGGGCCTCCAAGCATCGCCCACCCCGATGTTCCCCGCGGTACAGGAACTGACACTCGTCTACCCCTGATAAAGATAGCCGCCTTTGTGGGCGAGCTGCTGGGTGAGGAGGCCGCCGGCAAGGACCATGTCGCCTGGCCCAGACAAGAGTGACAAGACGTCGGACGCGGGTTGGAGGATCTTGACAAAGCAGGTGCGGCGAGACCTGCAAGAGGGTGCACCAACCCGGAATGTCCTCTTTGCACATACAAGAACAGCTTGGCGGATCCCGGAGCATGAGAAACCCGGCAAATGAAGCAAAAGTCAAGGTAATGGACACTAGCAATTCGGCGTAGCAAGCCAGGAGGTTGCGCGCCTGCGAGTCGCGTGTCTGAGTTCCCAGAGACTCGGTCGGGGTCGAGTGGTGAACGGGCGGATGTACCAGCGGCTGGGACACGTCGCACGTCTCCCCGTGGTGATGTACTAGACAGGTGTAGGAATACAGGTAGAGCAGGATCCAGGACAATATACTCAAAGACTCGATGTCACACTATTGATATTCATGGCTCTACCCAGCATAGCTATGACTCTAGCGCATAGCATTTCTCGACACTCTGCGCGTCATTGCCCCACCAGTTGGGCATCGTGATGGCCTTTCCACTTCCAAAGATCAGGAAGATCAGCAGCATGTTTAGATTGAAGCCTGCGTCGAAAGCGGCAGCAAGAATGAAGTTGTACTTGGCCCACAGCTGATACCTGTACCTATACGCCCAGTACATCACAACGAAGCCTCCGATGAATCGGGAGAAGTACCCCGTCGAGACATTGCCGTAAAAGATCGACATGCCGCTGAAGAAGATTGTCGTGTTCCAGAGATGGAACTTTGCACGCGGGAAGAGGCGGTGGAGACCGTAGATGATGGCTGGCGTGACGGCTCCGGCGAGGAAGGCGTAGGGGATGGGCCGCCACTGTTCTTGTTGGAAGAGCTTCGTGGGCCCCTTGTTGAAATTACCTGTCAGTCATATCAATCTATTTTACGGTATAGGGCTTTGTTGGTATAACTCACAATGAGGACGTATTGCACACCCGTCGTCAAAGAGCTGGTGAGACTCTGACCAGTCCATATGTGCGCTGGGTCCTCAACGTCGCCTACGAGAAAGTCGCGCTTCGTGTTGATAACCCAGCGCATCGCAGCATAGTTGATCGGCACACCCAGGGTGATACCAAAGACTTGCGAGAAGAACACCGCCCGTTGAGGAACATGGGTATAGTGGCCGATCTTCTGGTCCTGGAGCATGTACTGAGCCCTGTACCATGCATCGCCAGCGATCGCGCCGTATACCTGGTGAAATGGTCAGTATATGCGAGACGACTCCTAGCTGTGGGACTTACGTTGGCCCCGATTGGGTTCCTATGAGTACTCAGATTCTGGACCATTGTGCCGTAGAGCACCTCATTGAAGGTCCCGATTGGCAACTGGAAGTTGCTCACAGCGTAGAGCCAGCTCAGAGGGATAACGACAGCTCCCCCAGTTATCAGGGCGACGAAGTACGTCCACCAGGGGATGAACAGCAAATCGAGTCCGACAATCGTCATGATTGAGATAAAGGAGACAGAGAAGAGAGCGATGTACCACCACAGCGGCACTTCTTTGTATGACCGCATCAGCACGTTCAGGCGGTCGGTGTACTGGTGATTGATGCCCTGTCCCGGGTTGTTTCGTCGAGTACGGAACTTGGTGTAGCCGTCTTTGATGTTCTTGGCGCCGAAGAAGATAATCCAAGCGTAGGCGCTGGTGTAAGAAGCATAATCGAAGAAAATGGAATAGAGATAATGTGTCCCCAAGTACATCGGCCCGTTCTCATCGTACGCGGTTTGGTTGAAAGTACTGCCGGATGTGACCAGCGAAGATATGGGATACTTTTCGCCATCCGCAGTGCAGGCCCGGTTGGTCATCAGGCAATGACTATAAGTACCTAGGTTTCCCCATTTCGCGGCTGGAAGCAGGATCCAGCAGCTCAAGACGAAGGAGCAGAATAGCACGACTTGCGACCACCACGGGCTTAGAAACAACGGTACCCCCGCGTTGTAATTGCTAGGCTTTGACTTAGAACTTCTTCTTGAGACAATGTCTACTGAACGGGCAGTACTCACCTGACGTTCGCCCAGTCAAAGGTCAAGTTGAGGAAGCCCATGCCGCCGAGGCCAGACCCGATGAAGTTGGCAACGGGGTTCTTCGGTGCAACCCAGCAAAGAAATGCCATACTGTTAAGCATAGGAAATGCGTATTCTGGCAGAAACTGCCACAGAGTGACAGCGAAGAGGACAAGCCAGAAAACGCGCATCTGCTTTCTCGCCGCGGGTGTGGGATTTCTGTTCTGCCTGTTTTGAGTCTCGAACAGCGCCGTCTGGCAGAGAGCCTGGAACCACGGATATGCTGGTTCGTAGAGTAGAACCTGACGCGCAAACGCGGCAAAGGCGTAGCCCGTGGCATCAATGGACCACATGAAGAAGATGGCGGCGGCAGGATGAAGACGTGAGTTGTAGTAGAGCTCGCCCACTGCCAGTGCTGTCGTGGCTGCGTTCCCGTTTGCGCCCGACGCTGCAGTAATGGTGACCAGGACATGTTCCTTCATGGACCACGGACCTGGGTTCAGACTGAAGGTCGACTTGGTGAAGGGGATGCGAACTTGGCGTCTGGGCAGAATGCGGGCAAGCCAGAGTCCGACATAGTTGGAGGCGATCTGGACGAAGAAGACCGAGTAGGGCGCGTAGGTCGTACGAAAGCTGTTGATCTGGGACAGGAAGGCACCGGGCACGACGAAGATGATGGACAGCAGGAAGTAGCGGAAGGTGAGGGTGGGCAAGCTCGTGTCGTCGTGTAGACTGACGATGCGCCTCACCTCGGGCGGGATCTGCTTGATCTCCGGGTCGTCCTCATCCTCGAGGTCAACGTCGAACTCGACGGCTTCTTCGACCTCGAGCTTTTCCTTCACATCACCTTCCGCCGCGGGCTTCTCCTGGGAATGGCCGGGTCCCTTCTCGGCGTCGGAGTCAATTGACCCATTTGACCTGGGCTGTCGTTGGTGAATCTGAGTCGTCTGGTTTGGCTCCTCTGGCGCCAATGCACTAGCAAACTTGGCTTCAGTGCCCCTGTCGCTAGACATCTTGGCTGTCACTTGGCCGGCGCTTGGCTGCAGGTGCGAGTGACCTTGATATAGAGCTGGATAGACTATAATATCATTTTGGAAGGGAATCAAAATGAATGCACTCCAGACTCTTTTATGGGATGCTTGTGGCTTTTACACTTTTACTTACTTCAATCAACTCGACAGGTGTTCGGCCAAACTTTCGCCAATCGCGCCATATGAGCGGGCGACGACGTTTCCCAAAGTCTTGAGGGGGTCGGTTAAATCCAGCCCACGCAGGGATATCATATATGTTGATTGGCTTGTGATGGGACGGCACTCTGCGCTTATCCTCAATCCTGGGTTGATGCAATGTCATCGGTCACATGGGATCTGTCGTGTAACTTCTTCAAGACGAATGAGGCCGAGATCATCCCTTTCCAGACAAGAGGCATCTCTCTTGGCACGTAATCCAGCGGTATGGATGAGGTCAACTGTCAGTTGAACTTTTAAGACAGCCACGTTACGCCTGGTGTGGGGTAGTTGGGTCCTAGAAACTATTGCACCATCGGTGGCGATATCTGACACCTGCAGGGATGCGGCAAGGTGTTCGGAGATTCTCGCGTAAGCACAAGCCATGCAAGCAGACGAATGGATAGACAGTGGTGGACGTACGGTGGCAAAAACGGTGTATATACTGCATTAGGTTCGATCCCTTTCACCGGTGGCTTTTGGTAGCTGCAGTGCGTAGTTGTCTAGTACCAGGGAAGAATTGGACCCAAAACCCGATCAGTTGGAACAGTGAGGGTTACACCTCATTGATCTACCAGACCTTCCTCTCCGTACAGTAGCTCGGTTTGCACCGGATACTCAGATAGCACGAGAACCCACAGGAAATCGTCTTCGCCGGCCCCGTGACTTTGTTACATGTACATTCAGCTTCATCATCTACTCCTTTTCAATTTTTCAATTTTTCAATTCACAAGAAGCTAGACTTCACCACAACAGATTATCCGTGAGGTAGTAAATTTAAAAGTATCAGCGACTTCGCCAACGTCGGTCCGGGCCAGTTCGAGACGACCGCCACCTGTCTGGCCCCCGGAGGGTTCCCCAGCTTTACGGGGGCGATTACCAACAGCTAGAAGCACCTGAATGCCACATTTGGCAGGAACCCATCTTCCGTATACCGGCTCGAAACCAGCTTAGGTACTGTAAAAGAGGTCGACGCCGACTTAAGGCTCCAGTGGGGGGATGCCATTGCCACGAGGTTTCGACGTCTTCGGTAACGGCTTGGCCGAACTCCACTCCACCGCCGGGCGCTTGTCCGGGGCTTCTGTCTTTGGCATCAGCTCAGCCTCCGATTAGGCCCACCTATTCACGGGACTGCGCATCATCGGACGGGCTTTGTGGGATGGCCTCTCGAGATCCACATCCAGCAGCCGCATTCCGAACTCGGGCATATTCGAGTACCTGACCAGCTTCTATATTATCCCTCTCAATCCGTCGCAAGCACCTTCATCGTGAATGCCCAGCTCTGGGGACTTTAGCGAGCAAGAGACAGAGCCACTGAAGTCATCCACGGTGACTGGTATCCAAGTTGAATCGAAGAAACTAATGAATTAAAAGTTTTGACTTGTAATCATGGTGAATGTTGAGAATACTTTGTGACTGTGCCTTATTGTATCCTAAATGTTGTTGTTGTAGTTGTAGCATTTAACGCCGGTGGGACAGCCGCCAAAGGCGGCGTCAACCAAGGACCTCCATAAGGGCGCGCGGCGTGCTAGGCTAGGATATTTACAAGTATTGACCGTCCTGGTACGGCCACTCAACCCATCTAGCAGATCGTTGCTTTGGACATCACTGGAAGTTCGCACATAGCGTACACTACCACTACTTCTCCCCTTCTGTCCGCGGCGTTGTACTCTTTGATGGTACCCCCGTCCTCCGGATGACAGGAAATACCTCCTCCTCCTCCCACGGTATCAGCAGCAAGCCGCTCGCGCGTCATCTTCCTCCCGGCTCCTTGTACCCAATTCCTCGCCTGGAACATCCTCGTGGACGTCGTCGCCGTCGAGTGTACCGTCGACATCGATCGCCTTGAACGAGTGGCGCGGTCGCTTCGTATCGTTGCCGATGTGCTGCGCGCGCGCTCGGTCACGTCACACGCAACCCTGAACACCGCGCAGCGGCCGTGAGAGTAGCTCGACGAGAGCGTCGTCGAGCTCGCGGATGTATCACAGTCGACGTGACGATGTCGACGAGGGCTGTTGTCGACTGTCCCCAAGCCGGATCTCCCTCGTTCTCCTTCGTGTACTTACAAAAACAGTCAGTGTTAGTACAAGCGACAAATAACGCATACAAAAGGACCAGGTTTGTATGGGTAATCTCCCGGGTGCACTAACAGCGGGTGCCAAGACAAGTAGTTGTAGGAGGGAAGATGTATTGTATCCTAAAGCACCATCGTTCCGTGGCTGGCTTTGTTGGTTTCCCCCTTCGCCCTTTTATAGGCTCATAACTCGGGGGGGTCAGTGGTCCCCATTGGTTCTTTTGTTCTTGAAGTTACTTTCCTTTTCAATCCCAATCCCACCTCTCACTCAACCAACATCGAAGAGTGCTTCCACCACTTCCACCTCTTCCAACACACGAAACATATCTACCAAAGCAATCAAAATGCGAGCAACCAGCCTCTTCGCCCTCCTCTCCCTCACGGCATGCGGCGCCCTTGCCAAGAAGAAAATGACTACAGCCACCGAAGCCCAGTGGGATGTAAGTGCCCCCACCACGCACAACAACGTGCTGCCCCTATCGGATACACCTGGCTGACCAGAGCACGTGCAACGCGTCTAACAAATGGACAAGTCCTGCAGCGGAATCGACAAGGATGGTACGATCGGAGAACGCTGCAGCTGGGACTGCGAGGGGCAGCGCGTATTCGGGCGAGTGGGTCGAATACATTTCTCGATGTTGTGAGAGTAAGGGGGTGTGGGATACGAAGTATATGTGTGAGCCTTTCAACTAGAAGACGCGTCGAGAATGATTTCAGGGAGGGGCGACGTGACCGATGGCAGTTTTAGTATTCGGGACTTGGGATATAATGTGCATCGTGAGCTTGAAGCGTGTATTCGAGTGAACTGTGTTCCACGCATGGATCGTCTGTCGAGCTCATAGCTCTGACGATGAGCGTCCGTCAGTGTAGAGTCTCATATACAATTCCCTGGTCAACTCTGCTGCCCCGCACGGAGGACACGGTGATAGGCTCATTCCTCGAGTATCATGATCACCGGAACTAGCGAGAAACAATGTCTTATGGTGATTTGTCTATGTTGATCCTATCTGGACGATACACGTATTCCAGTAGCTCCCTCTTGATGAACACCAGGCAAGAGTTTTCGTCTGGAATATGCCAAAGATGCCCCAATCAGGAACCGAGCTGAACACGTATCTGTCTGCCGTCTCAACATGAAACATTACCGGTTCCAAATTCCACGCAAGCAAAGCCTTCAGATCTGCAGCTCACTGATAGCCCCCTCCAAACCACCGGCGTCTTCCGAAGAGCCTCCCATCCGCTCCGACTGGCTCTTCAACTCCATAGAATGGGCTCGGACAGCGTTCCACTCGTGGAAGGGGGGGGTTCTCGCTACGGCACTTGACAAACGCGAACAGCCCTCCACCTCTGATGATCAGTGTTCCACCAGCCGGGTCCGTGGGTCATATCTCGGTCCCCAGCATCAACTGCCCCTTGATGCGGGGCGGCCAGCGCGCCGACCCCTTCTTGATGAAGTCGTCCCGGCGGTTGGCGATGCAGCACGGGACGGACGCCGGGGTGCCGTAGGAGACCAGCTTGCCGCGCAGCGGCATATAGCACATGCCCTAGAAGAACACCAGCCAGTAGCCGTCGCTGACGAGGCGCATGTCGTCGCTTATCACGACGGCGCCGCGCTCCGGGTGGTAAGAGTTGCTCACGCAGCGATCCAGACACACGGACGCCGGCTTGGCCAGGACGATCTTGCGGTCGTGGTTAAGCTCGTGGAACTCGCAGGAATTCGGGCTCATGGCCGCCGGCGGGATGGTCGGGTCGGTGACGTGCTCCGGGGAGTCAGAGCCCGGGATGACGTCTAGGTATAGGAGATATTCCTGGGGGTCGTCCTTTTCCTCATTCCAACCTACGGACTCCCCCTGGTTGACGAGGATCAGAGCTGTGAAGAGGGGGTCAGATCTCACTTTTTTTCCACGGCTCTGAGAAATCAGGTAATGCTCTTACATGTGGGCCAAGTGCGCCAGTTCCACTCACTCGGGTCTATAGGGTGCTGCTGGGCGGTCTCATTGTTCTCGATGACTCCCTCCATCTGGTCGCCCGTTGAAGATTCGGTGAGCTGCGGTTGGGTCGCCTGGGTGTTCTCCTCCATTTCCTTATTCGTAGCAGATTCGGGAGGCGGTGGAGGGTCGATTAAGAATCAAGGTTGCAGGAAGACTTGCACTCTGAATGGGTAGCAAGCTTGCTGGAGAAGTTGACAGACAAAGTGCTTTGGGCTACAGGCTCAAGTGCGTGATGCTGAGAGTTGCTGCGATCTAAGGGCCAAACCCAAAAGGTGAAGGGGGCACCCTTGGGGGTAAGTTGCTTCATAAGCCAAAAGTGGTGGGAGTGAAGAAGCAGATTGTCGGGGTGACAAGTCTTGCTCCAGCTAGATGCCTCACACAGCCCAGCAACAACCTCATTCCAAGCGCAAACTTTTCAGGTGTTGATGTGGATTGCTACCCCGAGCCAACGAGGCAGCCTACGACAAGATTTTTGATCTCAAGCAGAAGAATACGCCCATCACCCTACTGGAAGTAAGAACATTTTCCATCGACGTATTCTCAATCTTTCGCTACATGTTCTAGCCCCGACACATTGGGACACTATAGGAAACTTAGGGGTTTAGGACGTATTGACACGGGCTTAGCCTATGTCCTACAACTAGCCAGACGATAGCGAGGTCGATATACCATCTTAAATAACAAAACATAATCTGTCGTAACGTATTATCAACGAGCGTCCAGGCACATGTACGGCGGACGAGACGTCTAAACAACTGATTTACTGAGCCGTTGGCGAAAACTAGCTGTGCTCCCTCCCACCCGAATCAGTCATGTATGCAAATAGTCGGTTTCTTCCTCGCCGCACAAACAACATCCCCACGCCAGAATTCTCGCAAATACGAGTTGCGAGCTACCCGTATAGTGGCCAAGGCAATCAGTTTGCCATGCGAGTGATGGTCGCGACCATAGCTGCGGTCACTGCCATTTAGCTCGGTCAGATAATGTGTATTTAACCAATCGTGCTAAGGACGTTGACGATCTGGCAGATAGGCTCTCTCATTCGTTGCTGGCATTAATTACTTAGGGACACCCCTATAGTCACAGGCCAGTCGCTAGCCTAGAAGCAACATATCAAAGCACAACCTTAAGTGAAGATAGAAAGGTAATCCACATCCACTGTCTCTCACTGGCCACCTCGGACTTCATGTAGGGCCATGCCAAAATTGTATTGCTAGTAACTAGAAATAGGTTAGCCTTGAACTTATTAACATAAATCCCTGGCCTGTGGGCCCCCTTGCTACGAGCCACCCGATTCCCCATAGAAATATTCACTAAATTAACCCCATAAGAAGATGACATATAACTAAGCTAATAAAACCAATAAAAATAAACGGGCTACGTATTTCGTTTATTGATTAAAAACAACATTTTATAAGTATAAAAAAGTAAAAATCACCTTAATATATAATTATATATTAATAAGTTTATATAATATATAATTAATCAAGAAAAGTGTTATTTGTGACGGTGTACAGCCGTAAACACCTGGATGAATGGATACTTAGTCATCAGGTCACGTGTAAATTGGATAAGGAGGAAGGGACCATATGTGCTGCTGCCATTTGGCTAGCCCACACCTGGATTCCTTCCTTCTCTACCTTGTTATTTTCGTCAATCTACCAGATAGCAACACAACGCCGCAGGCATCGTGACATTATTAATAACCTTTTAATAAAGTTAATTAATTTCAACCTAAATAATTAAGAAAAAATACGAAGTTAAAATTCTTTATATGATGTTTATATAGTTTCATTATTAAAATAAAAGGCGGGTAAATTAAAAGTTTACTTTAAAAAATTTTTTTTTTAAAAGTATATATATATTAACACATTAATATTTTATTTATCGTATTATCAAATATTTTATTTAAAATAAAATACTAGTAATAAATAATTTTAGTTTTTATTTAAGTTTTATTTAATACTTAAATATATTAAAAACGTAGCTTTAATAATATATATCTACTATAAATCCTACTTTATGTTAGCTTTATATAATAATGTTTTAGCTTTATACCAATTTAAACCAATGATATTATACTTCTATATATAATATATCCATTTCTACTTAAATAACTTAGATTTAAAGATAATATTAGAAAAGTTCTATATATTAAAGTATGAATAAAGCGTTTTGATTAAGAAAATAAAGGTATTCTTTATATATATAATCGTTTTTATTTTCCTATATAATAAAATAATAGCGTTTATTTAATATAATCTTTTAAAACTTTATTTCAATATAGTTAACATAGATGACAAGCGAGCGGCAATTACAAGCGAACGGCAACTTTTCACCAGCCACATAACCTTTTCCTCAAGGTTCCTAATTGATCAACCAACAATAATGGCATTGTATTATAGCGAATCAGACTTACAGCTTGCTGTCTAAGCTAAATAATACGATCCTCATATTATTATTGACAAGCTTTCTAAGACTTTCCACGTCTCATATAATACCTTAAAGGCTAGAATCGCCGGCCGACCATCACGATGCGATAGTATGCCCAATACTTTGAAACTTACGGTTTCTGAAGAGAATACCATTTGCTCCTTCATACTCAATCTGGATGCGCAAGCATTTCCACCCTGGCACAGTTATATTGAAAATATAGCAAATCAATTGTTAGCGGCACATGGGGCTGGATGCGTGGGAAAGAACTATATACAGAACTTCATTAAACGTATATCAGGCCTCTAGACGCGTTTTTATTAGAGGATGGACTACCAGAGGATCTTGGACAAAGATCTAGACGCGTACTACGCATAGTTTTGCTAAATTGCGACAGTAATTACAAATCACGGTATCTAAGACGCGGACATCTATAACTTTGACGAGACTGGGTTTATAATAGGCATTATTGGGTCTGACATGGACATTACAAGTGCCAAAAGACGTGACAGGTCTAAACAAGCTCAGCAAGTCAATAAGGAATGGTCTACAGCAATCTTTGCTATCAATGCTGATGGTTGGGTGGTCCCGTTGTTCATTATTCTACATGGCAAAACCCACCTCGCGTCATAGTATCACAACACAACATTACCACGCAATTAGAAGGTGGCCGTGTCTAACAACAGATGAACTACAAATGAGATCGGTTTGAAATGGATTCAGTATTTTGACAAGTATACCAGACCGTGTATAACTGCCGGTAAACGCCTTCTTATCCTAGATGGCCACGAAAGCCACCATTCCTAGGTCTTTGAGAATTTATTTTCAGAATAATGATATCATTACTCTTTGTATGTCTGTTCACTCATCACACAGATTCCAGCCTTTAGATATCGGCTGTTTTAGCCCGCTCAAATGAGCTTACGGTCATATGATTGAGGATCTCATCCGGTGTCATATAACCCATATTTTGGAAGAGGACTTTCTTATAACGTTTTATGAAACACATAATGCTGCTATGATGACAAGAAACATTCGAGCAGGTTTCAATGCCACTGGGCTTGTTCTTTTTGACCCAGAAAGTGTCATTTCAAAGCTGGATGCTGTCGCTATTGTACAAATACTGTCGCCAGACCCCAATCTGCCACCCATTACTTGGACTCCAAAGATGCCTACTGTTGAATACACGGATGTTGATTGATGCTATTGATTGTTCTGCTCTGAGTGCAGAGATTGATCATCTGTCTTCTTAGTGGGTCAGATGCCCTGTGCGTCTCTGCCCCACTAGAGATCTTCCAGTGTCTATCTTCGGCTCCCATTCAACACATCCCACCAGGAACAACTCCTTCTATTGGGGTTGTTCCTGAGCATTCAGTCTGTTGCTCTTTCTGTTTGAGGTCATCTTTAAGTTTTTGTAGCTTGCGGGCTACAAGTCTCTCATGGATATTTGTTAGCCTCACTTGCTCCCTGAATGTCTTGAACTTTGGTACCGGCCACGCCTTAGTCAGGCCGTCTGCAAGTATCATTTTGCTCTGGACATATTCGACGTCTATCTTCCCGTTGCGTTGAGCTTCCCTTAGCCAGTGGTTGTGGATACCGATGTGCTTGAGCTTTGTTTGAAGCGTTTGAAGGTCCTTTCACACCAACTTGATGGTCTGTTGGTTGTCACACCAAATCCGGAGAGTTGGACAGTCCAAGGATACGCCAATTTCTCTAAGAAGCCATGAGACAAACATCACTTCCTTGGCTGCTTGAGTAAGTGATAACAGTTCTGCCTCTGTTATTGAGGTTATTACTGTGTCCTGTTTGTTTGCTCTCCAGTTAATGATGCCTCCAAATAACTTCATGACGTATGCTTGTGAGCTCTTTTAGTCAAAGCAGTTGTCGGTAAACAATGCATTGCTCCATATTTCAAGCAGATCTTTACCCCGCAGCTGAAAAGCAAAAGACCTGGTACCCTTCATGTACTCTAATAGGTGCTCTGTGGCAGCAGCATATAAATCATTTAGGTTAGTATTAAAGCGTAAAAGCTGAGAGACAGCAATGGAGATATCGAGTCGTGTGATCACTGCTGCGTATAGAATCGATCCGATCTTCTTTTGATATCTGTTGATTGAGGCTGGCGAGGCAAGCTCATTGCTTGGGAGAAGCTCTTGAGGCTTTAAGCTTTATAGGGATCTCTGGGCACTTCTTGTTGCGGTTAATACAGCTTGTAATCTTGTCAATATATGAGGCTTGAGACAGCCAGATAAGCCGCTGTTTTTGGTTCCTAATGATCTATATCCCTAAGAACCACTGTAGTGGCTCTCCTCTTGTCAGATCATAGGTAGCTTTGAGCTTCTTTTTGACTGCCTCTATAGCATTCTGATGGTATTGTTTGAAAGCTATCACGATATCATATACATAGAAGAAGATAATTATGCCATCCTTTGTAAAGCAACAGGGTTCATGAGCGGCTGGTTTGAAGCTAAGGTTTGTGAGAGTTTTAATGAAATGCCTTTGCCATAGCAAAAGAGATTGCTGTAGTCCGTATAAAGCCTTCTTTAACAAGAGGACCTTTCCTTATTTATAATGTCCTTATAGGATTTTTATAAAGACTTCCTTTTTTAGGTCCGTGTTGATGAAGGCGTTGACGGCATCATATTGAATGAGCTCA